ATATATCCTATTTATAAAATAAACTTATAAAAAAATAAATTATAAAAACAACCTTATAATTATTTTATTTTATTAATATATCAATTTACTCACTTTCATCATAATACCTATAGCACATTTCCCAAAATTTTTATTTCATCATTGTTCATAACTTATGACAAATTTGAAATTCATTAAAAATTACACCCAATTACCCAATTTAATCCTTTAGCCTTCTTAATCATAAGATTCTCCTCCACTAAAATAACACATTTAATATTATTTTACATTTTATAATTTTCTAAAAAATTAAACTCAATATCCAATCTGATATTAAAATCTAATACAGTACTTAAATGAAAGATTTAAATTCATCCAAATCTTCTATCCCATTACCTACCTTGATTTTAATACTACTTTCTTCATACAATCCATCACCACTAAAATTAAGCAGTGACTTATATTTTTTACATCTTATTTATTTCTTTCGGAATCACTATGCCTAATATCCAATTTCTAAATTTTTTCATAATTTATATTCACCAGTCAATGTTATGAAAAAAAGCATTTCTAATCTATCTGAAAACTCCATCCTATAATTTAATTTAAACCATGGCCCTCTTCAATATAACATCCACCACTACTTATTTAGATTTACATTCTTTAATCCTTAATAAGTTCTATTCATAAACCTTCCTTTTATCCATCCAAGTTGTATCATATCTTTCCTATTGTTTTAATATAACCATATATCAATTCCTTTTTTAAACATAATAAATAAGGAAATATTTCTTAAAGATTAATAAATTATATACTTATGATTTGTAAGTACGATCTTAATTTTTTCTAAAACATGCTGCTTGTTTCACTTTCATAAAAAACACTTATAATGCCTGTTGGCTTTAAGAAATTCAATTTATTTTAGAATAATTAGTTCATCTTTTCAATATATTTATTTTATATTTATTACTTTAGGAAAATATTAACTAAAAACCATTAATAGAATTGTTATTTATTAACTTTATTTGAAATGAATAAACATAAATAAGAAACAGATTTTTTAGCATTAATGGTTGTATTAAGTTTGAATTAAAAAAATAATAAATTAATTAATATCATCATGTTTCTCTTCGAATATAGTTGTGTTTACTCTAATTTTAACAAATTCTAAGTTTTTGTACTCCATATTACTTAACTAATAGTAAAGATTTAAATTTAAAAAAAGACAAATAAGCTGATATGATTGATGAGTAGTTTACAAAATCTTAGATACTGCTCTCTAGGCTTTGATGTTTCAATTCAGATCATATTTACAATTTATTAAAATCTGTGTTACAATTTAGACATTTCTATAATTATTGAAATAGAAATCAATTTTAACTATAGATTCATAAAATTAGAGCCTATAAGATTAAAAATACAATCCTTATTTTTCAAAATTATTAAATTGTAACATCAAGATATGCATAGGCTAGAACATATTTTAATATCATAGAAATTCATGATCCTAATTATATAGATTCCTTTATGCTTTAGACAATATTTTTTTAACTAAAAATTAAATTCCAGTTTGCATTTTGCATATTCAGCCTCTAATTATTTCAATTTAATCTTATCGATATTATTTCTTAAGATGGTAATAGCTGTTTATGTCAAGATTCATGTAAAATCTTAGAAATATATCATCATAATTATTTATTGTGAATTGATATTTGCCTGAAATGTCAAATTTCTGATGTTCCACTTGAAAATTTACTAGAGAGATTATAAGTTAAATGTTGTAAGTGAAAATTCAACCTAAGCTTGATGGAGTGGATTAAATTGGCCAAAAGATTGCTTAAATAATCTAATTTTATAAATATAGAATACTAATCAATTTTATAAATCCTATTTGGCGTAGCATCCATTATACCGTCCTTAGTTGGTTGTTAATACAATTTCATATAATCTTTAGGAATACCCTATATTTATTTGGTCTGAAAAATCGTAAACAATATTAAATAAAATCAATAAGGATTTTATGGAGATATATTACTATTATTATGATAAATGAAATTAAGTTATTAAAAACAAGTGATTTCATCTCTAAATTGGTTTTTACTCGATTTAATAAAAAGAAAAATTTCAAAAATATGAATTAATTCATAAATAATTAGTGTTTATGATTTAGATTAATTACATTAATAAAATATTAATCTTAATATTTTTTTGAATGTTCTTCTAATTATAAGTTATAATTAGAGAATTTTAAAGCTTAATTATGACTTTCAAATATTTATAGAAAGAATCCAAAGTTGATCTTGATCTTTATTATATAGTGTTATAAAAAGATAGTAATATTGGAATCTGATCCTTTAATACTTACCCATAAATTGAATATGTCTTTATACAAATAATATATATTTAAATATAATTATGAATAAGGAAAAGGTGATGTAATATTTTCTTAATCTTATTTATAGAAATAAGAAGATTCAAATATCAAAAGACTACCAATAATTAATAAAAAATATGGTATTGCAACTGTAATTTCTAACCATTTCCAATAAGTAATAAAATATGTTAATGCTATTATAGCAAATTTACAAATTGGAAAAAATACTTTGACACCAACAATTTAGACCTCACTAAAATTACTCTCTATATAAAATCTTTGATATAATTAAATTGTAGGAAAGTTCATTAATAAATGAATAATGTACATTAATTATCGGCATATCTCGAAAACTTAAAAAGAATAGAACTATAATTAACATCTATTAGTTCATATCAAACTTAAATATTAAAAATATAGAATACTTTAACTAAGAGGGCTTCAAATGAAGTCATGGCCCCAGAAATTGACGATGACAATTTTCTACCAAAATTATCAGCAATAAATGAGAAAATAATCAATACTAACCAAGATAAACAATTAGATTATTGATTTTGGTTGAAAGGTAATACAGTATCGAAAATTGTATTTAATGATTTACTAAAATCATTTACAAAAATAAAAGCAAGACATTTTTCATCTAATTACTCCGATAAAAACTAATTTAGGCATTCAGAATAAGATTAACAAAAGACAGGCAAATAAAAATCCAACTAATAATTAATTTTTCTAACTAACCTGATTATTAGCCATTACAATACAATTATTAAGAATACTCTTTGTAATATAACCATGCTCCACCAATTGAGTCAATTATTTTGATTTTTGAAGGTGTATTTTTGATATACTTACATTAAATAAATCATATACTACAATTTAAATTGATATATCGTTCTTCAATGAAAATTAAATAATAATGGTCGTAATGAAATCATAAACAATTCCTCTTTATTTATAAAAAATAAATACATATTCAGGTCTTAACGAAAATATCTATTAAAATTTAATATATTATCTAATACTATCATTTCAATATGATCAATTATTTAAGAAATTACTCAATTTTAATTCAAAATTCTAACAATAAAAATATAGCAATTAAGAAGAAACACTAGCAAAGTCAATTTATGTATATGTCATTAAAATTACTTTTAAATATTTTTATTACCAATTATGAAATGAATAATTTTTGTTATTCTAAAGGATTATAATAATAAAGCTTTTAGTAAAAGTATGAATCTATTATAATATTTATGAAATAAGTACTAGAGTTGATCGATAGAATAAGATAATCATATATATTTTTGAAATAAATAAGACTTCAAAGATAAAGTAGAATTACTAAATATATCTTCATACTGAGAAATCAATATCAAAGATGTCTAATTATCTTATTATTCACAAATCTCTAATATAACAAAATATATAATTATGCTTGTATAAATGATCAAACTATATATTAAATCCCTTATAATAAGACAAATTCTTTTAAAAACTATATACTACATCTTCAAATTGGTATAGAATTTCAAATTTTTAAATATAAGTAATAATAAGATCAAATAATATTGATTAAGAGCCAATAACTTTTTGAATATAACCTAAAAGTTATGATTAAATTTAAAATCATCTGAAACAATAAATAAGTTTTGGAAATGCTTCAATTTTGAATGTTACTAATATTAATAGCTTTTATATTTTCTTATTGTTGCTTCTAAAGATATTAAATTGAATTAAGATACCCTAATTTCAAATCTAGATTTCAAGAAACTTTATATTGAATTTAGTTATAAAAATATAAAATTTAAGGTATTATTAAGTATTGTAATAAAAAATTTGGATATTTACAACTTGAATTCAGTTTAGATTATTTTAATCAAATATTTCATATAATGATAAACCTAAACTTTATATTTATAGTGAATCATTAAAGAATGTTAAAAAATATAGAAAGGATCTGTAAATTAGAATGTATTTACAATGATTCTTACTTTAAATGAAGCTAATATTATTCCTAAATTTCTCATTCTAGTTTATTATCAAATAGGAAGGCTCTATAAAATTTGATTTATTTAATACTAAACA